GAGAGAGAGAGAGAGAGAGAGAGAGAGAGAGAGAGAGAGAGAGAGAGAGAGAGAGAGAGAGTGTTGAGGTGAGGTATTGGAGGAAGGAAGATGCTGCTTCTGATTATTCTCTGCAGTAGACTGCGAAAGCAGTTTCACTTCGGTGAGGTGAGCAAGCTTGAGAGTTGGCACGACGATCTCATTTAAAACCCGCCGCGATGGAAGCGGATAGAGAGCATTTAAAGGGAAGTGCTCAAGCAGCCAGCTGACCATAACTGTGCTGACTGATGAAGATTATGATGAGGATGAAAGATAAGAGATCGAGAAGTGATGTTGAGGACAAGGTAAGATGGGGATGGGATCAATCAGGAAATGGGGAGGTTGAGGGTTTCAATGATGATGACGAGGAGAAGGGATAGGAAAAGGGGAGGACTATGGTGGTTTCAGTTATGATTCTGATTTCCCTTCCTGTTTTTCCTTGCCATGCTCCTTCCTCTTCATGTCTTTCTCCTCAATCTCTTTCTTCTTCACACCGCCACCCTCCAAGCCATCATTCTCCTGCAACTAATTCCGCTCCTTCGAGTCATCCTCCTTCACGTCATCCTATGCATCTGTCGGGTTCAATTTTCAATCCTATGCATCTGTCCAATTGAGTGTCCAATCCAATTCTTTGAGCATGGGAAAGGAAGGGAATGGAGAAGGGATGATCAGTAGAAGATGAGATGGGAATGACTTCAATCAGAAAATGAGGAGGACGAGGAGGCGAGGAAAAGAGATTGAATGATGATGATGATGACGCGGACGGATTAATAGGATTAATAAGATGAGCATGCTGACGTTAAACCACCGGTGCATGGGCACCTGAGGCTGCAGGCCTGACACTGCAAGTTTTGGAGGCCCGAAATGCGATGCTTGCATTCGATAATCTTTATCAACGACATGCGCCAGCCACAAATTTTGCGGTGCTACAGTGCCATGGGGACAAAATGTTTTCTGCAAGGCCGGGGCCGTGTAATGGCGGTTTAAGAAGAAGGTCGAAAGGGAACAGGGGGACAGGGGGAGGAGGAGAGCCTGAATTTGGTTGGGAAAGGGGAGTCCAACCTCCTCCCTCCACCAAACCTCCTCCTCTCTTTCGCCGGACCTCCTCCGCCGTACCTCCTCTGCTCCACTTCCCCGGCCAGGCCTCCTCTACCACACCTCTGCCCGATGTCCTCCACCCCACCTCCTCTGCCCGAGGTCCTTCTTCCCACCTGTTCTCCCCCACCCCCTTCGCCCGACATCCTCCACTCCACCTTGCTCCACCTCCTCTGCTCCACCTCCTCCCTTCCTCAGGTGACCTCCTCTGCCCCGACCTCCTCCAGCCCACCTTCGTCGCCCAACCTCCTCCAGCACACCTCCGCCTGACCTCCTCCTGTCCTCCACCTGCACCCGTGCTCCCTAGGCGACCTCCTACCTCCACCGACTTGACCTTCCTCTGCCCGAACTCCTTGGCCCGCCCTCCGCCACCGATCGGGCCCCCCCTCGTCCTAACTAGCTTCACGTGTTCGTTTTTTTAGGAGAAAAAAAGTGAGAATTGACCTGATGTGAGATAGATAGATAGATAGATAGATAGATAGATAGATAGATAAATATATAGCCCCTCGTTTGTTGTCCTCTTCTCCCTCTCTGCCTACGGTTTACCGGGCAGTTCTATTTGACGATATATATATATATAGAGAGAGAGAGAGAGAGAGAGAGTATGAGGTTGGGAAGGGGGAGCTGCACCTCCTTTGCCCGACCTCTTCTGCCCCACCTCGTTCAACCTCCGCCCCATCTCCTCTGGCTCACCTCCACCCCACCTCCACCGCTTGAACTCCCTAGATAAGAAAGGCCTCCTTATCTATCGGTAGCTGTATGCTTGGACGATGGTTGACCTGATAAAGAAAGCAACCTCTGTGCAGCCCATCTCTGTTCGGCCTAGGCTCACCATCTATGTGCTTACCCGCCAGCGAACACCA